CCCCTATATGTGGAGGTTCAATATAAAGTATCATGGCTAATAGTTTTTGATAGCCCTCCTGGCCAGAGGCAGACCAGAGGTGGACAGACGGGTCTCCCCTCCCTGTTTCATAAATCCATGAGATTATGGTTATCGATGAGATTTTGATTGTGAAATATACATTTACCAATTTTCATTCCTCTCAGTTGCCATTCCATATTTGACATCTGGGTCTATGTTCCTAAAATATATATATTGGGGAAAAAAGCAGTTTGCTAGCCATGATTAAAAAGAGAAGACATTGAGACTTCTGGTTTGCCACTATGGCCACTGCAGCTGCTGGAAGGTGAGCTCTGTCTTCCGCATTCGGTTTCGCTCCACTGAGTGACCCTGGAAAGGGTCGAAAATCACCCTGTAGGGGCGATGAGCAAGGAGGGGATCCCTGCTTGATTGTGGGAGGGCGGCAGTTCTTCCGCTCGATCCGGGGCAGCCCTCCAAACCGGCGGAGGAAAGACCGGCCATAGTAATATGGCCCGTCACTAGGCTGCAGACAGCTGAAGTCAAATTTACCACCAAGCACTTCGAAAGCAATGTGGATGAAACTGGGTGAGATCCGAACTTCTCTTTACCCTAAGTACTTTCTCTTCCTGTAAAAGCTGCCTGAAGTATCTTTCCCCCTGTGAGGAGAGAAGGAAGGGAATTTCTATCCCACCCTCTCAGAATAACGGCGACTGACTACCCAGGGGCATTAAAGCATTAAAAGAACAACTTTAATCTAATTGGATTTATATGTTCCTGAAACATGGAGACCAAAAATTTTCCTATTTTTATTGGAGACTTTTGCTTTTATCTACAAAAAAGAAATAAAATTGGAAAAAGGATTATAAAAATTTTGGACTTAAAAAACCTTAAATGGCATTGGTGATATCTTGTGGTTAAGTTTGGTATTACAACTTGTTATTTCCTAAAAGAGACTTTGCTCGAAGCTCAGACCTTAGATAAGACTCTTCTGACCTTGGCACCACCTGTAATAAACTCAGTTGTAAGAGAACAGCTGGGCAGCATAACTGGCCTACTTGAACTGTGAATGTAAACCTTTACTGATTTTCAGAGTTATATGTGGGGAATTGCTTTCCTATCTCTTTATTTGAATAATTACTATATGAGATGATGAAATACCTTGGACAATAAAATCTTGCTTGATAAATGATTTCTATTATGAAGATTATTTATAAATACATGAAAGAGATGGATGAAGACCATGTTGAAAGCAACACATGAAACCATTCTTTCAGCTTGTGATAAAATAAGAACATAAAAGATCAAGATATTCTCCAAAGCGCCTGAAGGCAGGACAAGAAGCAACAGGAGGAAACTAACCAAAGAGAGAAGCAACCTAGAACTAAGGAGAAACTTCCTGACAGTTAGAACAATTAACCAGTGGAACAACCTGCCTCCAGAAGTGGTGAATGCTCCAACACTGGAAGTTTTTAAGAAGAAACTGGACAGCCATTTGTCCAAAATGGTATAGGGTTACCTGCCTGAGCAGGGGATTGGACTTGATGACCTCCAAGGTCCCTTCCAACTTTATTATTATTATTATTACTATTATTATTATTATTATTACTGCAAAATATATGCATTGCTAAAACTCTTGTTCCCATAATCTTTAACTGAGCGAAATGGTGTATCATAGGGCAACAGTTTTTGAACCAATGTCCTCAAATAACTTGCAGAATGTGTTCAAAATCTGGGACCCTTGACTCCCATGGAATTGAAATTTAAGAAATTTTATAAATCATTTTATGGCATAAAATTATCATAAAACAGTTTATGACTTAACACAAAATGTAATAAAATGTTTTCTGTGGTCAACTTCAGTTATTGACTGTTATACAGTTCAGCATAGGTTACTTTCAGAGCAGAAACATCTCTGAGTATCTCCCTGAATTGTTAAGAACTTTTCAGGTACATTAGAAGTTTTGCCATAGTGCTTGTGGACTTCCATATTCTCATCCCAGCCTGGCCAGCGATGCTGGGCCAGCTTCACTGATTCATCATTTGATGCTTTCTGAGCATGAAGCCCTGATTCAGAAGACCATCTTTGACTGCAGCTCTTACCATGCATTACTTGTGCCAAAGTAGCTTGGAGGATGCTCTTCAATTACCAGCAGACAGTCTGTGCCTGGAATATAGAGAGGCCTATCTCTTCTTTGCAAAGTGTTTTGTTGCTCATTGGCAGCTGGATCTCAGTGGCACTGAGCTACCATCATGAGTAGGATTAAATATTTATTTAATTTATTTTATTCTTGTAAGGATATAATTGAAAATTTAGAATGTTACAAATGTTGAATGCTACCTTGAGTTTCTAGAAGGATATGGTATAAATGCAGTCTTCTTGAACTCACATTCTATACCATAGTTGTCTTCCTGGATATAATATGACTATGGTTTATCACAATCTTTGTTTGAGATATATTTCAACTTCAAAATCTAATGTGCAGGGTTGGAATTTCCTGGTTGTTTGTTTCTAACAACCTTCCTGTCCAAGTATTAATCAGACCAGTCCTTGATATTAATAATAATAACAATCATAATTGCTGATTATCTGTTATCATTAAGTTCTGTAACAGAAGTATTTTAGCATTCCAAATACTAATGGGAGTTGATTCAGTTTAGAAGGAAAATGGGTTAGGAAAATAAATCATTATTCCCATAAATAGAAGTGATCTTCTTTGGAGCTTCAACTAGCCCAGACATGTCAAATTTGCGACATCACGTGATGTTGCGCAATGTATCAGAGCTTTTTCGCTACTGCTGGCAATGGGGTGGGCATGGTTTCCCAATGATGTGTCCGGCCCATGAGCCGGCAGTTTGACACCCCTGATTACTACCCATACTGTAACAATTTGCAAAATGTTCTGTTCAATTCCATCCATTTTTCTGTTGTGAGACTAGCCAAAGCCATCATACCTAAAAGTGGCAAAGGCATGAAAGCAAGGTGGACAAAAGCCAGGAAAATCTCCCTCAGGAAAGGAAACAATTAGTTAAGGGAACAAAAGGGAGCACATGGCTAGCCCTCCCCAAGTCTCACCAACAAAAGAGCTGGGAAGCACCCCCCCCAAGGGGATAAAAAGAGGTCCTGAAGCCTGCCTAGTTTTGAGTTGTTTTTGGATCCCAGACTTGGCAGCTTCTGTCCCTCTGGCTAGTGCCTGGCAGCCTAGTAGTGGATGCTGGGTAAGTGTGTGTGTGTGTGTGTGTGTGTGTGTGTGTGTGTGTGTGAGAGACCAAAAATATATTAGTAAAAGTTTGCTGTTATTTTAAATTCACTGGGTCTCTCTGTATTTTAAAGCAGTGGTTCTTAACCTGGGCGATATTGCCCCCCAGGGGGCGATTTCATTTTTCAGGGGGGCGATGGAACGAAAAGGGGTGACAGGGGGGCGAAGGAACGAAAAGGGGGCGATATGGGGGTGATGGAGCGAGATGTTTTGGGGACACTTTTGAGAATTTTCGTACAGTGAATCGCTGCATATCTGTTGTACAAAAACATCAGATCGCTCGCTATTAGTGGATTGAATTGTGTTTTCAAATGTTCCTCCAGCTAGCTTCAGTACAGAACGCCGTACATATGTAAATACGCATCGCTTATCTTCATGCACATTGCGCAGCAGCCTCTACCCATACAATGGCACTCCATTGGCCAGAATATGGGAGATATGGGGAAAAGACTGGAAATAAATTATTTGCATCGATATGTCCTGATGACAATTTTAAAGAAAACAAAAAAAGGGTTTGCATAAATTGAAGAATTATTTCCTATGATTGAGAGGTTATGTTGGGGGAGGGGGGCCATGACAACTTCCTCATTGGCTCAAGGGGGCGATTCATTCAAAAAGGTTAAGAACCAATGTTTTAAAGAACAGTTTGTGCCTCAGTGTTCAGTTGATTTGGGATTGAGTGTGACAATTTTCCAGGCCTGTGAGCGTGTGTAAGAGTGACCATAAACTGAATCTGAGAGCACACTCTGTAACACTGTCCCTCTTGCAATTTAATTAGCATTCAGTTGTACTGATTGCTTTGTTTCTCCCCATAGAGCAGGGGTTCTCAACCTTGGCAACTTTAAGACTTGTGGACTTCAACTCCCAGAATTCCTCAGCCAGCAAAGCTGAAGTCCACAAGTCTTAAAGTTGTCAAGGTTGAGAACCCCTGCCATAGAGAGAAAGGATGATTTATAAATATATCACTGAGTTTGGAGGGGGGGGTGATCTAAAAATATAAGTTTCTTCTTTGCTTACTAATATCTCCTATTTAAGAATGGATTGGATTGGAAATTGTCACATAATTAACAACAGTTTGAGTAGAAAGTAAATAATGACATTCCTGCACAAATCAAATCTGAATTACCAGTGATTATAGCTTTACGGAGAAATGCCATACACTAAATCTGGGATCTTCTGCATGCAGGGCATGTGCTCAGCCCCTAAATTGTCCTGTCTCTCATTTGTCTTATAATTCCTCCCCGGGGACTGTCCTTGACTTCTCCCATTTTTGATAGTTATACAAGAATGTCCTGGAGAATTGCTGCTATTTACAGTAAAAACATCTAAATGGAATAGATCAGACCAGTGATTTGACTTGCTAGAAAAACAATTTGTATATTTCAGATATTTTAGTAATTAAGACATGTTTGACTAGATAAACTATTGTGTGTACTGTAACAGTCCTCTAAAGGTTATCTGATAATATATGTATTTGTTCTAAAATATGAGTACAGCTGCCTTTCTGGAACACATTTGTACTGTATGGTTAGTTTCCTGGGCCAGGAAAACGAGTGCTTAAAAGCTCAGGAATTTCCCAAGTGTAAATTTCCTTTGCTCATCCATCACCTTCCATACTTTCGCTATCCTTGCCTAGCATCCCTCTTTTGATTCCCACTAGGGGGCGCATCCTGCCATTTTTCTCACATTTCAAAGCTTCGTTTCCCACAATGCACTGAGCATTGGTTATTATACAGTAGTCCTTGTTTGCACTCTGGAAGTGGGAACAATGCTGCAGGAGCCTGCAGGCAGCGACTCGGTTCGTCCGACCAACCTTTTCTCTCTGTCGGGGAGCGCTGCATAAAGTTGCTACTGTTCCCCTGCAGTCCCTGTAAATGCTTAGGTAAGAGCGGAGGAGATTTGCTTCGGTTATTTATGCTTGCTTGTTCTGGGCAGAGCGGAATGGGCAGTTGGCACAGGAGGTGACTGCTAGATATGGCTTCTGCTGCTCGTGCTGGCTGGGGAGCTTTGGAAAGCCGGAGGTGGGTTTTCTGATCCGAATCAGTTGCGAACCTTTATTGGGCAGAGTCTAGATTTTTCACGATGGAGTTTCTCCCCTCCGGAAAGGGGCTCCACATACTTCCGAGGCTTAGGAAGGAAGAAGCTGCGGTATCAGGCGTTGCGAGGGGGGGGGGGGGATCCGCGCGACTGTTAGGATTGCTAGAGTTGAGCGTCTTCTTTTCCAGAGTCTCCCTACTTCGGCGAAGTGCCAAGAGAGAAAGGAGAGTAAGGGGTAGGCATCGGGCGGCGGCTGGAAGCGGCGATCATAGATGTGGAAAGATGTGGCCGGATGCTTGCCCCTTACAGTACAGTGTATGTTCCGTCCGTGTGGTTTTCTCTGGGAGCGTCTCTCGTACAAACTGTTCTCTTGATATTTTTTGTCTAATGCAAAAACACATAAAATGCTGTCTGAAAGTAACTAGTGTGGCATAAGCCCTGAACTTTCCCTGTCCTCCCCCCTTTCCTTTACTGCTTCACCCATTGCAAAACCTTTGTACATGAGATTTAAGATTAAGATTCTTTTGCCTCGTAAAGGGCTGCTTCGTATCTAGTTCGTGGATTCAGGCAGCCTAATCCTGAAGTGCCAGTCTCTCTCTTCCCCTTGGCGAATGTGCATGAAGAGTGCTCCTGATTTTCTGTTCAGGATTTGAATGGCTTTTAAAGTTTTCTCCAAGCACAGGCAAAGGAAAGATTAGTTCATTGATCATTCATGAGATCACTGCTTGAACTTGCATAAGGTATGACTAGTGAGTCAATCTCTACTCCTGGTGAATCCATGAATATGTGTATGTAGTTTCATTAGACTCAACCATTATTGTGTTATTTCTTTACTCAGGAGTTAGGTTATTTATTAAATTTATATTTATTTATATAAATTTAAATTTTATATTATTATCTAGTGCTTTGGGTTCAACTTGCAGCAGTAGTGATTCTTTTTCACTTACTTTTTTCCCCTCCAACCAAGTGGACTTTCAGGAAAAAATTCAAAGTGAGAAAAATCAAACCTGGCACTTTCTGCTTTTTTAAAGAATTGTTGTTATTATTATAGAATTATTACATGCATACCAGCTAGCAAGGAGGACTAGAAATCATTTCAGAATTACAGAAAACTAACTCTGAGAAGTATCAGCCTAAATGATTGTGATACATTTTATATTTAAAGAAATATAAAGAAAATGCTATTTATCTTTAAAATCTCTGGATTTATTTCTGCATTGTCCTTCTGCAGTAGGAGATGTGAGGAAGGGATTCTGTTAATTAACATTGTGGTAATATTCACAATTGAGCTGGAGTTTTATGTATGCTTCTGAAAGTATATAATAGAAAGTAATATAAATATATCAAATTTGTTTTGTGTTACTTTTCTGAGGACCTTAAACTGTGATGTTATCTTATTTGCTCCCTCAAACTACTCAGTGGCTGGGTTTGTAGAATACCCTTGGTTGCTGAATCAATCCATTCATAGGGTTTTAAAAACCTTTGCATCACAAACCAATCAAATGGAATGCATTCATATAGTATGTTGCGCTGGTGGAAAACTCACCCCAATCAACATTTGGAGAGGATTCAACAGTTGTCTTATTTTTCTACAGCCATAAGGTTACAGGGAGTGATTAAGCTTTTGCACCTAGACATCAGCAAAGCCCAAGATGACATACTGTAGATATTGATCAAAAGTAGATTAAGCATGAGCAAACACCAGTAGAGGACAGACAGAAAACCCATTGGTGGATTCTCCATCTCCTGTACTGGAGAAAGAATGATTTTCCATATGATAAGGGTACAAGATAAGAGAAAGGAAGACACAAGTATCATTCAAAGTGTAAAGAACCTACAGGCTCTCTTTTGCAATAGAATATAGCAGTTTTGAAATAGGGGAAGTGCCAAGGCTGTGATTGTTATACATTCAAGCTGAGCCTATCTGTCACTATGGACAAAAGAAGAGAGATATAAAGAAGTAACATCACACATCCCTTCCTCAACAGCCTTTGCTAAAGGCAAACATTCCATGGATATTTAAATAATTGACAACACATTGGCATCATTATAAAATTCCATACTTAACAGAACTACCAAAGCATATGACTAAAGGCAATATAAGCAATAATACCTGTATAGAAAAATAATTGTAGAGAAGTATGATTTTAAACAATTTAAAGCAAATTTCTTCTGTTCTTTGGAAATCTCCTCCAAATCTACCCAAACCAAGTTGTCTCCTAGAGTTATGGGTGCTTTGCTACTGGAGGTTTTAAATGCAAGTTGAACAGCTCTTTCTCTGAGATGGTCTGAAGACTTCTGCCCTGAAAGACCATAGTTAACCTCCCTCCCAAATCAATGCATATCGTTTTTTATATCAGCATTGCCAAAAATGGTTTGATGAGTCATACTGGGCCACAATTCAGCATCATTGGCTGAATTTATTTAGCAAACCATGATGGGGCAATGCATTAACTCAACCAAATCTTTATGTGTTTTTGGACTAAGGCTTGTTCTGCCATGGAGGTTCCTAGATTATTTGGAGGTTTGCACACAAAGAAATATTTCATTGCTTGTGTAGCTAAGTAAGATTTACCACATTTCTTTTGTAAAGAACTAGAACAGATAGACTGGAAGAGTAGATTGAGCCAGGAAATAGGCCAAAGTTAAAACAAACACACTCTTGCTTCATATTTTCTTATGATGTACCAGAGCTCCTGTGTCTTGTACAAACAGCAAACATTCCAAACAATTCTTGAATTCCAAGATGTATTTATTTTTTTTGTCAGACACAATTTGGGCTGGTTGTGCCTTACTTTTATTATTTGGCTATATTTGTACTCCTCCCTGCTGCCATTTTCCTTTTTCATCTTCTGAGTGGTTACTTCTGGGATCTTTATTCCCTGGATAGATTCCACTGGTTCTGCTCTATTTCTGCTTTATCCATGTTATGTATCCCTGAAACAATTATATTTGTTGTATTTTCCACAGCATGCATTAGGCTTTCTGCTCTCTTTACTTTTTAAAATCTTGCCTCTCTCTCATCTCATCTCATCTCATCTCATCTCATCTCCATCATATTTGGAAAGATGTTTAGGAATTTGCTTTTTCTCCAATCAGAAAAGGTTGGTCTGTGTAGGTCAGATCAGTATGCTTCCCCCCCACCCCACAGCCATCCTCTCAATTTAAACCCTTGAGCTGTATGAAGTTACATCTCCTGGTATTTACAAACAGCACTTGTATTGATAAAGATGGCTGAGTGATGGGAATTGTTATCCAGTAAAGGAAAAGTTGGTTTGTTGGGATTGGCAGTGGTTTCTCAGGAGTTCAAACAGCAATCTCTTTCCCGAGATGACTAGAGACTGAGTTTGACTTTCTGTATGCAAAGCCTCTCTCCTGCTACTAATCTACAGTCTTACAATCTCTTCCACTGGTCTCCTGATTTTGCTTCCATAACAAAGAACAAAGCAGTATGTATGGGTTTCCAGATAATCTCTTTCCAAATACGGATTTAGAGTACTACTTGGTCTTCTGAAGAACATCTTTTCAGTATGCTTCAATATATTTTTGATTTCTATTATTTTATTTCTATTATTTTATTTTATTATTCTCAATATGGTAATAGAAATCAAAAATATATAGTTTTCCTCCCCACTGAAAAAAAAATTGGATCACTCTTCTCACTAACCCATGATGTCATCTTTTTGAGAGAATATTCCTTTTTTCATTACATATAGGCTGCCCTAAACAGAAAAGTTTTCATGATCTTCTGAAATGTTGATAGGGGTAAAGCCAGGATAGGTTTTCTAGAAAAGAAGGGCTATTACTGAGATGGGGTCTTGGAGTCCTTGATGTTGACATCCTCACCATAGGAATCTGCAGCAAGCTGCTCTTTTTCTCTCTTCCTCCCTCTCTCTCTCTCTCTCTCTCCCTCTCCCTCTCCCTTTGAATGAATAGATTCCACAAGGGGAAGGTGATCTTCCAGATATCCAAGTCCTGACATGAATAAAGGTGACAAACAGCACCTACAGTTGTATTCAGAAACCAATTTGCAATCAGTACGGATCCTGTAGTAGAAGTATTATATGAGCAAAATAAGTTGAGCTTGTTATTAATTGGGCTACTCCATTCTGGATCAGTTGAATCTTGTGGATGATCTTCAAAGGTAGCCCCATGCAGAGTGAGTTGCAGTAGTCCAAATGTAAGATGACAAGGGCATGTGTTGCAACTGGTGCCCCTGATTTGGCACAGAAGCCTTCCAAGCTGATCAGCAGAGTTATGAAATTTGTGCTGTTAGAAAAAGACTGCTGTTCTAAGCTGTTCTTAGCAATGGAACTCATTCGAATTGATTCTTTTGTTTTAAAATGTTAAAGCTCCAATTCTTCAAGGACTTTGATTCTTAAGTATTTTGGTAAAATAAATAAGTTGTTAAACACTACATATTTTTAAAAGTATCTTAGAATTCTCATGAATGGACTAAAATGCTGTAATGGGCTAATCAGAACCGACATCTCTTACCTGAATCAACATAACTATAGAGTTGGTGAATAGTATTTCAGAAGTAGGTCCTTAAGTCTCATTGAGAAAATCAATCTATGTTTGGGCATTCAGTCATGTAAAGCTCTAAATGCAATCTGAAGTGGTACAGCTCAAAGAAAACTGGGTTACTATGTACTAACTAGGCTATACTATTGACACAAAACTCATTGGTGTAACTGACATGAGGCAGGCTATTGAATTCAATTGCTCTTATGGAGTGGCTTATTTTTAGAGCACAGATAACTTGGAGCTTTTATTTATTATTTATAGTACATTTACACTGCTTTTCATCTAAAAAGGCTCCCCGGACCACTTTCATAGGATCAGTGAAAGAGGTCAGTCCCTATCCACAAACTAACAGTCTAAAAACTGTAACCCAAGGGAAAATGAATGAAGGGGAAGAAAGCAACATTTGGTACAAATTCACAACTTTAACTAATTTAACTTTAATCTATTTACATTGCAAAGGAATGAAATGGAGAAACATCAAGATTGTCTCATAAACATTCAGTGTGTTTGTCACATTTTGCCTGTTTAAATGGGGAGTGCTCAAAAACAACCCCAGTTAAAACTTTTGAACTTAATCTGATTGTTAAGAACATTCACCCAAACAATCATCCAAGAATTAATCAATTGAATTTAAAATCTAGCAACTTACTTTCAGCCTAAGTAAGAGAAAAGGGTCTGTGAAACTAGAAAGTGGAAGCATTTTATGGAATTAACAGACATGTTTTCCCAGTCCTATAAATACAAATGCCCATTGTTGCTGTATGTGTAGGGTGGACTTTAGTAGAACCATCTCTATTAGAAAGCAATCTCCATATCTATGAGTGTTTGGTTGTAAATGGGGAAAAATTCTGGGATAGGCTAGAAATAAGTATTATAAATACAGTATTTATAGGGTGAGGCTTCTCAATACCCTCTGTGTTATTTGTAATAACATGGTTGGCATTAGTAGCATCTTTCCAACTTTCTCCCATGGCAGTGTCCCATTTTCTGTAGCTCTGCTTTTTTATAATAGCTAAAACATTGCCTATCTTTCTTATCTATCCCTTCTTTCCAGATGTAAATTGCAGTGGAAGTTGATATTTCAGGTTAATACAGAAATAAATTAATAAAAAATTAACAAATGTTTAGATACTTGAGTGTTCTGTTCCATTCCTGGCATTTGGTTCAGATAATAAAAAATGGATTTTGGTTAAACACTAGGAAGAACATCCCAAAGGTATAATCTTATAGTAAGTAAAAGAGTGTAGTGGTTAAGGCACTATGGTGTCTTAGCTGTAAGACTATGGGTTCTAGTCCTGCTTTAGGCATGAAGCCAACTGGTTATTTGGGCTAGTCACTCTCAGCCTTGAAAATGTTGTCAGGAAAACTGCAAGAACTAATCCAAGCAGTCACCAGAAGTCAACATTGATTCAGAGGCAGAAAAAAAGCAAGTATAGTTGCCTCTAAAGAGTGTGGTTTCTCTTTTTCACAGATATGTAAGCAGAAACTGGATAACCATCCATCAGAACAGCTAGTAAAGAGATTTCCTGTTTTGAATTGGATGATAGTCCTTGAGTTTTCAGAATTTTGAAAGTTTAACTGATGCCCCCAAACCAACAATAGCATCTGATGTGCTGTTTGACTAACCAGATTCCAAAGACCATCCAAATTTATGGTAAATACTGTAAAACATTACAATAATTTATTTATTTATTACATTTATAGAGCCGTCTCATGTCCATAATTCTGGATGGTGTATAAAGTTAAATACACAAAGAACAGTACAATAGGTAATTAAAAAAACAGTAAAATTATAAAACATAAGGGAGGCCAATTTAGTTTCCCTAACAATATAGCCACTTTATAAACTCCATACCTGTCAGAGAAAGACTGAGGCACAAGAGGCCAAGGTCTGACACCCCCCACCCACCCTCCGCTTGCTCTTGACTCCTATCTAGTCTGGCCTAGGTGTAAACTGCCAGTCTGGGAAGATTCCCGTGAAATAGAGATAAGCAATAAAGTAGCTAATTTAATTTTTCACATGTGGATCTGGTTGTTCACACTTTACAATATCCACATTACTGTATTCCCAGACCCTTCCAGAAGGCCAATACTATAAGAGTCATGGCCAATTTGACGTCAGGATTGATGTTTCCAAAAAGTGGGTACCATGGCAGGAAAAGCTCTTCTCCTGGATCATATAAGATTATTCTTTCATGGAGGGACCCACACCATGTCCTTCCTGCTGGACTTAATGGCAGTGGTGACTGAGGAGAGGTAGTCCCTCAAATAACCTAGCCTCCTGCAATGTAGGATTTTATAAGTCATTATTAGCACTTTGAACTGCATTTGGAAGTATCTGGCAGTGGTGATACACGTGGTGATCTAGGTACCCACATAACTGCCCACACCAGCTGAAGCTATCAGATGCTCTTCAATGACAAGTTAATGTAGAGCTCATTATAGTAAAGTAATTCCTATGTAAAGTGACAGTAGGTGAATAAGTGAGGGGCCTCCTAGTACAGGAATGGATACAACTGGTATGTAACTTAAAGTTGTTCAAATGTCTTCCTAGCCATGATTATCACCTACACATGAAACCGGAAGGATATCCCAATTGGGCATCAGATCTTTCTGGAGCAGTGCCCCCTCTCCGGAATTAAACATGGTAAGTTCCCAGAACCTAGTAGTCCTAAAACTCAAAGCCACTCCATGTATACCATTAATCAATCATCTACCCACCCGCTTGAGTTACTTTTGTTCAGATTGTTAGAAGAGGTAGGAAGATGCCATGAATATCTTCACGTATTTAATGTATTTTCACCTTTTATGAAGTAATTATGAGCTGTGGTAGAAATGATTTGGAAAGAAGCTCATGTTGCACATAACTGCTCCTGATTCAAGTTATGAAGACTCAGACCAAATACAGTAGATGATCAGTGATAGACACATTTAGTGTTATGTAGCAAGGGAGAAATAGATTATGTGTTAGAAACAGGCTTTTGAAAATTGTATATGTGAAGGAGAACTGCTATTTATACAGTGAATTGTGTTTTTTTAATGTGCTAACTTTCATTTTTATAATTTGTGCTATGACCTGATTCTAAACTGTAGTCAAAAACGTTATTGTAATTTCCTAAATTGTTTAAAACTATTGATGAGTCTCTTTTTTAGTTGAAAGGCATCTTTAGGTTTAGCATTAGCTGTGTGTGTGGGGGGGATTCCTATTTTCTCTTATTGGGAAATTAAACTCTAAATCTTTATTTTGTATGTCCCTAAGATGTGGATAGCTAGTGAAATAATTAACTTTATTCATGTACAATAGCATGGCATATAAGAAACTGCCTTATATAAATCAACTCTTGGGTGACTTATCCCAGATTACCTCACAATTTGTACTTCAGGACACTCTTTGCAGTTTCAAGAAAAGGTATTTCTCTGTCTGATCATCTGGAAATGCAGAATTGAATGTGGGACCACTGAACACATACATTTCCTGAAGAACTAGATCCTCACATCAATGTATCAAAATTGAAAAGGAGTCAAGACATTGTTCTTCTTTGGTAGACATTAAGCCTCCTCCAACTTGATACTTTATTCTGCAAGTCATTTGAGCACCTGATGCATCTGGAGGTCATGAGTGTATTGCGGTTTTAAATCATATCTGGGAAATTATTTAAACAAACTGTGGCTAAGCAAAGTGGAAAGCAGCTAGAACATTAATTAGATTCCAGTGCTACAAGAACATTTAAAATGGGAGTATATCTCATTGAACTTGATTGCGCTTACATCTGAATATTTACACGTAGGGATACTTTATTGTAATTGCAACGAGTGAGTGATTGCTATTGAGTCAGATACAATAACTAATTTTACACCTATAGTTTCAAAGTTGTCTAATAGAACAAGCTACGTTTAGTGGTATTTGAACATTTTCCATGTTAATTTTTCAAATATCATCTACAGTTTATAATAAGGAAGTAAGACTTGTCTAGCACTGAATCACTCTCAGAATCTGGTGGATGATAAAGAGGCATGGAAGAATTTGCAGAGGAAAGAACATTTGATGGTTAAAGCTTTCTTTCATCAAAGTCTGCATGAACTTGAAAATCTGAGTTAGTGTTCTCTAATGTGTAGTGCAATTTCAAAATTCAGGATTGAGAGGTCTATCATATCTAACATATCTCAAGGTTTCCAGGATGGAGAAGAGGATTATGCACAGTCTTTCTTAACCTTAGCAATTTTAAGATGTGTGAACTTCAACTCCCAGAATTCCCTAGTCAGCTAGGGACTTCTGGGAATTGAAGTCCACACACCTTAAAGTTGTCAAGGTTGAGAAACAATGCTCTATGAGTTCATTTGGAAAGCAATAATCTGTGCTTTGCTATCAGCAGAAAAGCTTCTGAAGAACTCAGTCCTGTGTTGTCAAATGTACTATGTTGCCCACCTTTCAGAATGTGTCTGATGTGAGAATATAAATATAACGAACTGTTAATGATCTACATGCAAAAACTTTGGGAGAATCTTGATAACTTGTCTCTTATCTGGTTTGCTAGTCTTTGGAACTTCTTGGGAAAGTGAAGAGAAGAACATTCTGTTAAGTAATTCTGTCATTGCCTATATCAGTGGTTCTCAACCTGTGGTTCGGGACCCCATTTGGAGTCGAACGACCATTTCACAGGGGTCGCCAAACAACGCAGTCCGCCATTTTTTCCCCCTTTTCCTTAGCTATGCTACTCCCTTTTATTCTATTGGCTTTTGAAAGCCAATAGAATAGACTCTCTTGAATAGAGTCTAATTCTATTGACTTTCAAAATCCAGTAGGAATTGTCCAGGCTATCTCTGCTCTGCTGAGCCCGCCAAAAGTCCCATTCTGCAAACAGTGCTGCACCAGTTGAGTAGTCCTCAACTTACGACCGGTTGAGTAGTCCTCTACTGACGACCGGCTGGGGGTCGCGGCATTAAAAAGGTTGAGAACCACTGGCCTATAGAAATTCAGATGAGAACATATCTGTAGAAATAGGGCCATAGTCATCTTGATACCATTTTAGAAAAAGAAATAGAACAGAATTTGCATATCAGAAAGAATGGTAATATATATGTTTTAAGTCAATATATTGACAATAATTGTTAGTTTGTAACATACATTTGTAATGTAAAAAAACTAATGTCAGATTGGTATTCCGAAGGGAAAGGGATTCCGGACCTATTTTTCCCTTTCAATAGTTGTACAAAAACATTTGGTGCACAAAACTGCCTATTTTTCATAGACAATTAGCAGGCAATTGCATTGCTGTTAGATGCTGTTCTGATGGAAAGATCTTGGGAACCATAAAAAGAGACAGAAGAAACTGTACCTCCATTCCTGCTCCAGATTAAAATGCAACCATCTTTTTCAGATGCTTTCTAGAGAATTAAAATGTTAAAGTTTTTTGTCTGTTTAGGCAGGTATCTTAGTAGGGATTTCATTAAAGCATACCTCAAAGAAATCTGTGCTACATTTTTTCTTCACTCTGTCCTAAGAGAGAGGAAGAGAAACATATAGAAAGTTATATGCTGGTTCTCCAATCGTTCCCATATGTCTGAATGTACAGACATTTCTTCAAATGCCTGTGTCTGAATCCTGATATAGGGTGATACAACAGTCTGTAACCAAAGAGAATTAATGGGCTGGAATTCAAAGACTACAAAACAATTTCCAGTTGTGGGGTTGAGGATGGCACACATTCTTTCCTTCTGAAATTTCCATATGTGGATTTGGAAAATTCAGTTCAAAGGATCTTAAAGAGCAGAGCCAAGAAGTTGGCTCCTAGCTGAGAACTTGGGGAGAAGAAAGTTCAAGATTCTCCAAGAGCAGCCAACTTTTGTGTAATCAAACTAGCCTCCTGCATATGTTTAGCTAGACCTCCCATCATGATCATTGTTGATTGAAGTTTATGAAAATGGATTCCATATAGATAAGAGGGCTCCTACTTGGGGAAGTCTCAGTTTCTTCATTTTTGAAACAGAAGACATGCTCTGAAAGAAGAAAATATAGAATTTGAGTTAGTTGGGTGACTCTGAGCCAATTACTTTCTCTTGACCTACATCAAGGTCCTGTGGCAGGCCTAAAACTAGGGCAGAAGTACGCCAACTTGAATTTTTAGAAAAAATGTGGGACATCATTGCCTTCTGAGCCCAAGCCAAGATACTCATGAACTGTAAGAAGCTATGCATGGCATAGGATCAAGCTACCTCCAGGTTTGCTTTAATTGGCGTACCTTCTTGGATTTTGGCACAAATGCATCTCAAGAAGTAGTTCATCCTGTTTTTCCATGGAGCGCCCATGCTATGGAACAGATTGCCAGTAGAGCATAATAGTTCCTTCTTACAATTTAGGAGATGATAGAACATTATTAGGCTTTTAATGTTTTGTGTTTTGACACTCCAACTGTATAGCTTTACATTTTAGTGGTTTATTGTTCTTGTATTTTTAAACACTTAAGAATCGTGAAAAGCATATGAGACATATAAATCTTCTCAATAAAAATAAACATTTTAGCAATACAACTAAATATTTGGGTATGCCTAAAATAATTCTGAGGATCCTGGCCAAAATTTGCTGTTGTGGGAAGGAATGGAATTGTTAATGATTACAAGAAGATTAGCAAATAATACCAATGATAATCAGTGATTATCAGGGAAGTAGAGCCTTTGTATCACATTTTTTGAATGTCTGGCCATTAGATTACTCTTTTTCTCCTTTCAAAAAACTATTTGCATCTTCTTCCTCCTTCTTCCTTGACAGGGCACCCACTTGATTGTTATTAGTTTTGTTCTTTCCCATCCACAGCTAATGAACAGTTGAGGAGGGAGAGAAGAAAAGAAAGCAGCAATTCAGACTTTGCTTTGTGACTGCAGTTAATAAGTAAGATGAAATCATGTGATGGTCTTGCCCTTGGTGTTCACTATTCAGCTTCTGGTTTGCCCTGCTTTGCTTATCGGCTTAGCGAGTACAAGGAACTTTTTATATTTTTCTGACTGAGTCATGTGCTGAGGTGTTTCCAGATGGAAGGCTCTTGGCTTAACTTGTCCCCCCCCCCTTCTGCAACCATTTCATCTTTTCCTTTTTACCAGTTCTTTGCAGAGAAAGTAAAAAAGATAGAATAAGTATTTATTTCCACAATTTAAATTCTTGGTAGGCCATAGTAATCTCAAAATATAACTTATACATAATCAAAATCAACAATAATCATCAATAGCTTTTATTTTATTTATTTATTTAGATTGGTTAATCTTGCATTTATTTATTTGTTTGTTTATTTATTTCCTGCCTTTATTATTTTTACAAGTAACTCAAGGCAGCAAACATATCCAACACATCTTCATCTTCCTATTTTCCCTACAAGCCTTGTGAGGTGAGTTGGGCTGAGAGAGAGACTGACTGGCCCAAGCTGACTTTCATGGGTAATACAGGAATAGAACTCATGGTTTTCTAGTGTGGTGTACTATATCAAATTTTATAAATAACTTGAGGCTGAAAACGTATAATACTCTTTCCTTAACAACTCCTTCCTATTTTAAGAATTCTTACTCCCTTCCTGGCAAGCCTTTGTGGCATCACAGGCCTTCTTTAAAAGAAGACAACAAGGACTAAATATATCTCTAGGACAAGACTGTTGTATAAAGTTTGGCCTACCACTGAAAGACTACTCCACACATCCTTCATTTGGGGAAGTAAGCAGTGGTGGGATTCAAATATGTGAACAACTGGTTCTGTGTGGATGCCGTTTCTGGAAGTCCATTCTGGGTCTGGGCAACAAAAATTAGCTACTGGTTCTGCTGAAGTGGTGCAAACCGGCTGAATTCCACCACTGGATGTAAGTATAGCCCCTCTTGATGATTTTATAGTATGAGCAGAGTGGTCCCTAAGGTTGAAGATATCCACTCCTATGTGACAACACTTTCAAGATCATATTGCTCAATCATATTTTCTACAGACTAAATATACGTAGATTTTTAACTGTTCTTCATAGTGATTGGTTTCCAGTTTTTTGTTTTCTAGCATCTGCATAATACTGCTTGTTCATGTTTAATATGGGCACTAACAGTGTTTTCCCTAAATAGCATTATGTTTTCTTTATTTGACTTTTCCAGCTTCACAAAAGGTGAATAATTTATCTGCCAAAATTTGTTAATCTTAAATATATTTTATATTCAAAAATATTAGGCTTAACAGCCTGTTTTTGTTATAATATTCTTTTTATCATTTATTTTGTTTATTTAACTGATTTATATGATCACAACTCATAAAATATATGCCATGAGCATGCCAAGTAGACACTGATTTTGTGTTTTGGCTCTTTGATGATAAACATTCTCGGATGACCCAGGTGGAATTTCTTTTAAGAATATAGTAAAACAGATAAAACCCCATTATTTCAGATTATGAGGCTGCAGTTTGAACACAACCTTAAGAAAACTAGATTTAAAATTTAGAAATATAAAATACATAATATATATAAAACAAGTTGATATGGAGCTGGAATTCATACTTGGCACTGACTAACTTCAATATCCTGATCACCAACAACACTGAGAATATAAATTTATTGGTAAGGAGGATGATAGAGAGTTCAATAGCAGAGAATACAATTTACATGAATTGAGACCTTAGCCTTAGATACTGTCAGCTTCAGTTAAGGTTTAAGGAGGTCATAAGCCAGTGATGGCAAACCTTTTAGAGACCGAGTGCCCAAACTGCAACCCAAAACCCACTTATGTATCGCCGGGTGCTGGGTGGGTGTGGCCCACTCAGCAGGTGCAGCTACAGTGGGCTTGGCAGACTGGGTGGGCGTGGCCACTGGATGGATGTGGCTGCAGTAGTCATGGCAGATTGGATGTGCATGGCCGGGGTGGGGGTGGCTACCATGATGTTGCTTATGGGGAGGGACACCTGTAGGAGCCGGCCAGGATTGGGGGAGATCCAGGAGGTCTCTGGCGGGTGGGATGGTGAGCTCTCCAATGGCGGCTCCAGGTTGGCTGACCTTAGGCCAGTGATGATGAACTTTTAGAGATCACGTGTGCTGGGGCGATGGCACGTACCCACAGAGAGGGCTCCGTGTGCCGCCTCTGGCACGCGTACCATAGATTTGCCACCACTGGCATAAGCCTGCTTTTGAATAAATAAGTGTAGGGCTCTGCTTAAAAGGTCTTAAACTACCATAATGAAAACTATCTTTGGGACCTTTAGAGACAAGTAATAGGCTGAGTTAGATGGAATAATGCTTCATTTGACTCAGGTCGTTTAAAACAGATTGGTTGTGAATTGTGACATTCCCTAGGTCCAGAGTTTTTCCATCTTTGATTTTGGATGGGTAGAACTGCACCGAATAGACTCAGCACACAATTTAAGGGTCCTCCTAGATTTACATCTCTTGATGAAGGAGCAGGTGGCAGCATGGCTCAGAAGATCTTTATAGTTTTAACTTCTGTACCAATTGACAAGCAATGCTCATGGTCACTCATTCACCTTTGTCACCTCATGATTGAATTAATGCAATGTGCTCTACATGGGACTGCTCTTAGTGATTATTCAGCTGGTCCAGAATTCAGTGAAGTTTTTAGTTATGGGCATACACTAGGATGCCCATGTAATACCTCAGTTCTGCAACTTTATTGGGTATTATTTTATTTCCAGGTGTAATTCAAAATGTTAATTCTTACCTATTAAACCATTCAAG